ATATATATATATATATATATATATGTATATATATATATATATATATATATATATATATGCCTGTATATATACTTATATTTACTACCGTATATATAACAGACCTAAAGGCTAATATCGGTACTTTATGCTTTTCTGTTAAAATGATATAGCAAATAAAGTAGGTCTGTCTTAAATAATTTTCAAATTCCAATTTTTATGGTAATTATGATAACAAATTATTAATCGTGTTCTTCTATACATCGATCATCGAAACTATTTGATTTGAAATGAGTTGAGGGCCTCTCAAACACGAGCATAATTCACCAATCGTGGTCAACTACATCGGAAATCAAATTGCTTAAAAAAATATTTGATGAGTTAAGGGGCTAGTTCAACGCGAGTGTAATCTGCCAACATATACCGTACCTATCATCGTCACATACTGTATTATCGATTAATCGTATTTTATTTGGTAGCTTTATAGCATTCGTTCAATATTAGATAGGCCTAGATATATTTTCATAAAGGGTTAAAGCTTTATTAAACAGGGCAAAATAACCCGTGCTAATTATAAATACATATTGTAGTCCCAAATAAGACAGGCATAAAATCCCGCATTATTAAGGCAGAATTGAAGTAGGCCTAGGCCTATTTTCACACAGTTAAAGTCCGTGGTTGAATTTGAAACATTTTTGTAGTGTTGAAAATCGGATTAATACCCACAAAAACGCGACCCAAGTAGGGAGGGAATTTCTCAAGTTGTTGAGCAGGATTAAGTCTAGAGTGATGATGTCATCATCACGTATACATTAGCGATCTGAAATATAATATCATCTTTGACAAGCTCCCAATATAGCTCTCATGCGTGCGCTTTGAAACAACACGATTTTAAATGCTGCAATTTGTGATTTACGATTCATAATGTAGGACCATGTATTTGGGGAATAATTCAGAAAATGCGGCGGTGCTTGGCGGCAATTAGTCGATGTTAATCTAGTCATCACCTGTTTTGCTCCGCTTATAATGCATAGTAGGCCTACGAATCTTCACGGTAACATTTGCGAAGGCCAATAGAATTATACCTATCAAGAATGATACCTAATCAAGATGAATATGGAAAGTCAACGAAATTCAAGAGATAGAATGATTTTTTAGCATCTCACTTTTTTTCATCTATTCATTGTCAGTTTTGTGGTTTATTTAGTTAAAATATTCATAAAAACGTTGGAAATCAATACGAAACTCCACGTTTAAGATCGTTTTCTAAACATCGAATAAAATCTCTTCACAATGTCTAACTGCCAGCTGAGTCTCTGCAAAGTGTAGCTTACATAATTGTATTTTTTACGAATAAATTTACTAGATTACACTGTCTCAACATGGGGAAGGGACATTCCCCCTACAACTAGCACAGTTCAGTCTTAAGCTTGATAGCTAAAAACCAACTCAAATTAAACAACAGATGCAAGCCGACTCGGAAAATCTGAGCAATAAATACGGATTATGCCCGGAGAAAATTTCATTAGCCCTTGTTTAATCAAGTACTATAAGTTTCGTTAATTTGTGAACGGGTTGACTAATGCTTGTGTTGCCGTGGCGACAGTACGCGGTAAGCCTGTGGTCAGTGGGTAGCTAAAGCGTTCGTATTGCAGGGTTGAACAGAGAACGACTCAATTAAGCTTTGCGCTACATAAAATGTTCGAAGCAGGTTTTCAGTTCACACCAAATTCTCAATTACTTCTGAGGTTCACTGATTGAAACTTGTCAGCGGAGATTAAGACCTAAGTATTCTGCTATTTCTTGCAAATGACGATTGATTTTGATGATTTTCACTGACAAAATAACCCATAATGTTATCATTGTAAAATGCTTCTTGAGAATAGAATTACCAAACGAAATTAATAAGTTGATATTAAACAATGCGAATTAAAATCGTGTCCTGGTTATTGTTCTAAGGCAAGTAATGTTAATATAACAAGTACCGAATGCTGAATAAATCGCTCACATTGCTTGCGCTATTAGTAGTTGTGGGCACGATCCGAGCAATTACTGCGTGGTCGCACGATATCAACACGCACAAGCCGAACATTTAGGTCTTCCCACGAGACGAAACAGCGCGATGTGTTCTAAGGAGATCGCCGCATAACCATTTTTCAATAAATCAGATAAATAATTTCGCTATAATACGGCTAAGTTTAAATTTCATATAACCCGCAAACGAATTTACATATTCATTGAATATTCATGAGAAATTATAATATACATATTATTCAGTGTTGTCTACAAAGTATTTTGTTTCAATAAGATTCTATTCATGAGAACGGAAATGCATAGTAAACACATAGCCAGAGCCTGGATACATATAGTTTGTGTTACTGCCAGCGGTGGAAGTAAATTAATTATCTGATAAATAATACAGCAGCATACTGCAAATTATTTACGTTCAGTTGCCTTGCGAATTCATCGTGTACATCAATGATCTAGCATTATTTGAAAATTACAAGAAAACACTTTATAATAGGTCTGCCAACTAATGATAATACTGCAGTTACATTAGTATCAACATAATTATTATGATATTAATACAACCATAATTATCATCAGTTGGCATAGGTACGGTATATTACAAGTATATTTATATACATATAACAATAATTATATTAAATATTAATTATAATTGAAATAGTTATAACAATTATAATAATTATAGTATTTATAATAATAATAAATTATACTGTAATTATTAAAATAAATGATTGATAATATCAACAATTTTATGACTAAAAGGTCTTATTCAGTATATAATGTTCACTATAATGACGTTTTACTTGTATCGATTATCCTAAGCTTATTGTTACTCGACAAAATAATTGATATCGATTATAGATCATATTATCGACACGTCGGTGATACCAACTACAAATCATTTTAAGGACACATCGGTAATATCGATTACTTAACAGTTTATCAATAAACAGGTGTTATCGATTACCGATCGTGTTGATCAAAAAACTGGTGATACCAATTACCGATCATGTTAATCGGCATATCGGTGATATCGATTACTTACAATTTTTATCAATATATTGGCGATATCGAAACGATTATATTGATAAATACATCTGCGATTTTATTACTGTTCATATTGATCGATACACTGGTGCTCGATCACGTTAATAAATGTATTGGTAATTGCGATTACATATTATACGCATTGATATGTATTAATAATTGGTACCAATAATTAAATATTCATAAGTATGTACTTACAATTAACACAATTCTGATTGTTATTTGTTGGGCTGTTGATCATGGTATTATTGTCAATTACAGCTTTCTCCAGAACATCGTGATCCTCTTTACAAAACAAACCGTCTTCCCGAAGTGCAAACTCGTCACCGGGAATTAGTTGACGCGTGCATGCAACACAACGAAAACAGTCTATATGGTAAATCTTATTTCGGGCTCGCATAACAAAGTCATTTTTACTGAATCCGAGATGACACTTCGCACACTTCGTACCAAATAACCTGAGGAAATTAGAACTTTTAATTAGACCATAATATAGAACAAGTGTCAAGTCCATTATTATAATAGCATGTTGTTAATCTCTGAACAACGTTAAATATTGTGAAAATAGATTGTATTAAATATATCATAATTTAGCCTAAATAAATCAACAAACCAATATAAGTAGGCCTATTTGATGATGACATTATTACGAGAGCTCGTGTCTTTTTATACTATAACAAATACAATATCGGTACTTTATAAAACAAATACAAAGGAATACCGGTATATAATGGTATATATTAAGACTTACGGTACTACACATGTCTTACTA